CCCGGAGGTGCTGTTATCACTTCCCGTCCATTCCTGCTTCCCACCACAGGACGCAGCTCCTTCCCACCTCAGTCAGTAAGTGGATGCCAGCTGTTTGCCTGGCACAGGGAGGGACCAGACAATGCTGCCTTGGTCCCGGCCCCGAAGAGCTTGGCGGTGAGTGGGGGAGACAAGGGTGAACCCCAAATGACACCACGGTGGCCAGAAGAGGGGGGCTGAGCAGTGGCCGGGGCAGCTACAGGGCACACAGAGAGGCAGCGTCTGCACCAGGCCTGGAAGGCTAAGTAGGAGTTTCCCCTGGAGGAGGAGGGTCAGGAGAAGATGGCCCGCACAGAACAGAGTAAAGGACGCTGCTGGAGGGAGAGGGCCAAATGAGCCAGAGCACAGCCGGGGGTCTGAGTCCTAGGGGCAGCATCCGTCCTGGGGCTGTGCCGCACATCTAGAGGTCCCCTAGGCCTCCTGGGACTGTGGGGGCTTTGGAAGGTGACCGGACTGTGAGGCTGACAGCCGCTGACCGTAAGTAGGAGGCGGGGCCTGGTCAGAAGAGGCCGTCACTGGGGGTGCAGCCTGGAAGGGTGAATCTCCCTCCCTGGCTCCCCCTTTCTCTGCTTCCTCCCCACCTTTCGGGAGCAGCTCTCCCGAAGCCCTGGAGCCAGCCCGGACTGAACCCGCCACAAACAGTGAGTGGTGGGTGTCAGACGTGAGTGTCCAGCAATGGGAAAGCTCACTAAGGCGCTTACTCGGGACCAGGGGAAAGGGGTCACACAAAACACATCACTTACCCAGCATCGGATAGTTTGGAGCTTTCCACAAAATACACACACTCTTTCTTCTTGATGTTTTCCGGAATCCACGAACTCAGATGTTCTTGCTGTGGGTAGAAAGAGCACTTTGAGATCCTAGGTTGTCAAGTCACGACCTGCCGGAAGTGCTCAGCCCCGGGCCTCCCTCCAAGCTTGCAGAGAGGGGCCCAGCACAACACCCACCGAGGTAAGATACAAGCGGATGGCTGTCCAGGGTGGGTTCAGGAGAGGGGGACCAATCTGTGATGTTTCCTGTCCGACCCAATCAGAACATGTGCCTCACAGCCACAACATCACCTTCCTCGAGGTAGTGGTGTGACAGAAGGGGTGCAGGGGGCGACCCCTGCTTTGGTGCTTGCTGTCGGAGACCGGCAGACCCTTCCCACCTGCAGGCCCAGGCCACTACAACATCCAAGTGTGCTTTCAACCAGGTTTATCGAGAGCGCTGGCCACCACAACAATAAAGGACAGGAAATCACGGTGCAGTGGGGTGCAGAGGGGGAGCCCCCCCAAGCACAGGACACATTTCCCAGCCAGACCGCAAGGGGAAGTGACAGTGCGGTCCCCAAGGGAGAGGTCCAGCCCCTAGGCCTCCCAGGCCCTGACAGAGGGTGTTTCTGGGCCGCAGCCCTGGGCTGGTGGCCCCGCTCTTCCCAGACAGGAAGCATATGCCCACCCCGAGGTCACTACTGAGCCCCCAGGGCTGATCTGGCCAAAGTAGCTCCCTGGCCACCTCCACCTCGGTGGCCGCACGTGCTGGCTGGGGACCCCAGGGAAGCCCACCTTCTCACTGCTGCCGAAGGGACACTGCAGCCTCCTGCTCTTGCACAGGCTGCTGTTACTCCGCCGGAGGTTGGGGACCAGGCCCAGGTCGGCCACCCTCCTGGGCTGTACCCCGAAGCTCTCCTCCTGCTCGGAGCCGGCTTTTCTGGGGGCTGAGGGCTCCATCCCGGCCCACAGCGCCAGCTTCTTCCTGTCTTCCACGTCCTCAGGGCCAGCTTCTCTCCGGCTCTCGAGGCCCAGGGCTCTGGAGACACCACAGGGTGGAGGGAGCGGCTGAAATAGAGCAGAAAGAGGAAGGTGAGGCGGATGTCCTGAAATGACTGGCCACATGTTTCCTCACAGGGCCCCCACCGAGTCTCCCTGGCCAGTCTGCTCACTCGCCCCGGCTGCCCGGCTCTGTCCAGCCTGGAGGACACTGGGCAGTGTGGAAGTACACATTGTGGGGCCCGTGTCCATTCACTCGGGCACAACCTTAGGTCACTGTGCAGCCTACCTGCCTCTGAGACGCCCGGAGAGCCCCAACCGGGGACAGGAGGGACACGAGCAAGGCCTCCACATGCCCTGTGTGCACCCCCAAGTTCCGCATCTCACGACTCCAGACACGAGTTCGCTTCTTTCACTTTCCAGAAAGAAAAGAGAAGCCCCCACCGCCCACGGAAAGTCCCGCAGCCCTCATCCTGAGGGGCGAGTGCACGGGTCAGAATGAGCCCGGTTTTCTCATCCCGCCTTCTCTCCTCAGGCCATCTCGGGGCCACAGAAGTGAGAACACATGGATTTGAGTCCTGCAGGCTCCCCTGCATCGTGGTGCCCTGGCTGTTTTGGGGACATCGTGAGGCAGTGTGGAGGGATGTGTGTGCCGGGGCTCTTATTCTGCCCTGATGGGGGTGGTCTCGGCAGGGCTGAGGCGGCCCACTGGCCCAAGCCTTCAGTCACATCAAGTGGTCACCAGACAACGTCCCTGCCCATGCACTGACCACCTGCTCCCTGAGCCCCATGCCAGGCCCCACAGCTCACACTTAGCTCTGGGGCCTCAGCTGACCTCAGAGAGGTTCTCAGTTTCCCTACTCCCCACCTCCTTCCCCGTGCCCCTCACCCGCACTCATCCCGAGACTCAAGCCTAGATCTGGGAGAAGAGGGGCCATGCCATGCCTGGTGGCTTTCAGGGTCCCCTGCTGCCCTGCACAGCAGCTCACCTGCCCCCCAGCCTGCTCCTGAGGCCAGCAAATAAGTGAGATGTGTTCTCACGTGACAGAAGAGGGCAGGCCAGAGGGACATGGCCTAGAGGTGGCAGGCCTAGGACAGGCCCCTCAAAATGCAAGAAATGAAGGGGGCCAGAGCAGGGCTGAGTGAGTGCCCAAGGATTTGTCTGTCTTAAGGACCCTGAAGTGTTCCTGGTCATGTTACGAGGGACAGAGGTGCAGATCCAAAACGGGGCACCTCCAGGGAGTAAGGAAAGGTGTCAATTCGTTTGTTAGGTCTCGGAGCCAAAGTGACCCCACAGAGCAGTGACACCACACAGTTGGGACACTGGTGCCCAGCCCTGCTGACACCGGCCGCCTGGCTCCACCCCAGAGCAAGGCCCCCCGCTCTGCCTGCCACAGCCTACAGCGCCAGACATCAGGGAGGAAGCACTCTGTGGAGACCCAGCCTCGGGCTGAGAAGAACTCATCTGTGAGGTTCTCCCATGGCCAAAGCCCAGGAGCCGCTGGCCATCCACAAGGACAGGAAGACACCGCACCACCCCAAGTGACTCCTCTGAGAAAATGGAGATGAGCCTTGTGGGACCCCAAGAGTGAGTGTGGGTGCACAGAGGCACCAGGCCGGCCCTTGGCGCACCCCCAGACGTCTGCAGCCTGTGCTCCTCACTCAGCCGCTCCTCCAGGCCGGCCCTGCCCCACCGCTGGGACCCAGCTTCCCCACTTTTCAGGCAACCACTGCCTCGGCACACCCACTGGGGCCTTGCGTGGGCTTTTCACACCCCAGGTGCACACAGCCCCAATGAGTGGGGGCGGATGGGTTGGGGGGTCTGGGGCCAGGGCTGACGGCGACAGCCTTACAAAGGACAGTGCCACCACAGCCTTCTCTGGGTTCCTCTACACACAAGCAGGAGGCTGGGCACACACTCCTAACAGCCTCTGGTCACCCTGGCTTGCAGCTAAAATTCTCCAGAAGCACCTGGCACAGGCGTGTGTGCTGAGCACACCTGGAGGTTGAGGGACGGACAGACCCCTAACCAGCGAGTGACTGCACTCACCTGGACACAGCGCTTACAAAACTCCTATCCACTCCGGGAACCTAAATCTGCTGCCTTGGAGGAAGCAGTTGGGGCCCCGAAAGGGGCTTCCCCTCCCAGTGAGCTCTATGGAGACCCCAGGAAGAGTACAGATGCGTGGGAGGGCACCGCCCCACTTGTCCACCTTGGCCGAGGGCAGCAGCTCCCCTGCCGCGGGTCCTGCTGGCACCACCCCCTCAGGAAGGACACAGCCAGAGAAGACTGGAGCAGCCTCTCCACGCCCGACGTGTACCTCCGGGGTACCCGGGTACCCAACCCCAGCCCAAAGGAATCCCTGGGAAATAGAAGACATAGAAGGGGCTTTATCTGTGGATGGCCTCGTGTGCATGCCACCTGGTGCCTGGGGCAGCCCCAGCTCACTGTCCCTCATTGTGAACACCACCTCTGCCCTGTCGCCCACACCCTCATACCCTGGCCTTAAACAAATCGCTGGGCATAGGCGCGGGTGAAGGCACGGGGAGGTACAGCGGGCCCCGGGGCCTCCTGAGAGGGTCCGGAGCAGGAGTCCGAGAGCCCCAGTCCCTGCCGCCTCCAG